ATTAAGCCCAAAGTTTTTTAAATAAAATATAATTTAAGCTTCACATAGAATATTTACTATTATTAAATTATTTTTTCGCTTTATTTATTTTGTCATTCTCGTGTCAATGCAAAAAAATAAAAATGAAATCCTTATTGGAATAACCCAGATGCAGGATGTTTTAAATAATTATTGTAAAGTTTGAACATTCCAACCACAAAGTATCAAACTCGTTTAATCACAGCATAGCCAATGCAATGGCCTTGCAGAATTAATTACATCTTCGCTAGCCAACTGTGTTTGATGTTTGCCCAGTGCAGTCGTACTTGTCCCAAATCATGGGAATTACACGCTGAATAGTTTGAGTTATGAACTGTTGATGTCATTTTAACTGCGATTCACTTTACGCTTAGCTGGATATGTAAAATAGCATTGCTATTAATAACGCTGTTGACTATTGACTAGATGTCCCGTAGTTTCATCTGCATTAATTAGGCCATGATCTATATACTCGTATATATATACTTTATAAGTCTATTCTAAATTATATGATATGACAATTAATTACGGTAGAGAAAATTTTACAACAAAGTATTACACTACAAATTTTATTTTTTACTATTTAAAAATACTTTTTGGCTTTACAATGCGGCGTAGATACCCCATAGGCGCTTATTTTAATTGACCACCACCGAATATTTTCAATGCGTTTATTCTATTGTATTCGCGAAGAATTCGAATGGGAGGTATATAAAACTGCACTTAGACCAAAGTATATAATAGATGATCTTATAATTAATTTGAGATTTACATACCAGGATACATTTTACATGTTCAACATTCCACCAATTTTAAAGCACACAAAATATATATTTGCCATGATTTTTCTTGCAGGCGCTTTTAATTTTATAATAATCATCAAATCTTGGCTACTAATCTAGGGTACAGATGTTTTCATAGAGTATTTTAAACGCGGACGCAATATTTCTGTGATTGGGAACTAAACACAGAATTAAAGTATTAAAAAATGAGTACTAAATTAACCAAAAAGAAATTGTTCTTTGATCAAAAGTTTATAAAGGTGATCTTCCAAAAATATTGCAACTAAAAAAAATTGTTTTGTGTATTGTTTTTATATTCGTACGCCATCTTATTGTAATAAAAAATGCAAAAAAGGTCAGCCGCACAACAAAAATAATTTCCCGTACCGGGAATCGAACCCGAGCCTCCTGGGTGAAAGCCAGGTATCCTAGCCACTAGACCATACGGGATACGGTAACATTGCTGAAATTTAAATTCATGTATTATATTATAATACTTCGTTTATTAATAACTAAACAAAACAATTAAATATACAGGAGATATTTACAATTTTCTTAACCTACATAATAATAATTATTATTATTAATAGCTAGAAAATTTAAAAAGTTTGGTCCCTGTGCCAGCGTACCTTTAACGCTGGCAGCATTTCCTCGCTGTACTGGGGTCACCGGTAGGCGGTATCTATCAGGTGCCAACTTAAATCTTTAATAAGCGACTGTGCACTTAACCTCACGGTCCTAGAGTCTACTCCAAAGGGAACAAAATCGAAATTGGAGGAAAGACTTATATTTAAGCCGTTTATTATTTTTTCTCTCTCTCCCTCTCTGAATTATATTTTATTAATTTTACAAATCAGACTATGGGGAAATGTATCCGTATTTATTAATTTGTGTCGTTGAAAAATTTGTACATTGTAAAAATTTATACTTTTGTTGAGTTTTCAGTAGATAGAGAATAAAAAATATTTTGATGATGCATGTTTATCAAGCTTTATTCAAAATATTTCATCAAAATCTGTCCAGCCGTTTAGGAGTTTAATTACGAACACATGCACAGAAGATTTATATATATACCACCTGTTTATTTGCTGTATAGATAAATAACCTAGATAGCGACTGCAGCGCCGTCTGCCGGGATGATTTGTGAATTTAAACCAGGGCACCACCCAAACGTATAAAAAAAATCATTAATTGGTCCAGCCGTTTAAGAGGAGCTCAGTGTCATACACACGTACAGTAGAATAATATATATAAAGATTAATTAATTTCATATATTTATCAGGGAATATATTTATCATCGAAGCATCTCCAAATCTGTGGAATTGGAATGTAGTTTTTTTTAATGCTTAGGGGGCAAGAGACCCTACGGGATGATCAGAAAGGGCAGTCGTCGCAGCCCATGGGCACTCAGTTTAGTGTCCATTGCCGGTCTTTAAATAATTGAATTATATGTTATCAGATTTTTCATTCAATGCACAGATAGAACAATATCCGTTAGTCAATTAATCAGTAAGTTAGATATAGGGACCGGGTATACAGCTTGTTCACGGTATAACGTCTTCGGAGCGGAAATTATACAGCTTATCTAGTGACAGGCATAGTCAATATTGATGAGCACAAGTTGGGATACGGGGTGCGATAGCGTAAATGGGACATACACTAGCAAATTAGAAACATCAGTGTTCATCATCAATATAACAATACTAAAAATAAAATATGTTTACTATGGAAAATAAGATACAGGTATCACACTTATTCCACGTCATTAAATTTGAATCGAATGGGTTTGATTTGCGCATAAAATTATACACAAATCAGTTCGCAGCCTCCAAGCAGTAGTAGGAATGATAGGGAACTAGCTTTTTTACTCTAGCATATGAAAGTTTGCTTGTTCGAGCAGTGTTGGCCTAGTGGCTTCAGCGTGCGTGCTCTGAATTTTCATTTATTCCTTATTTACAGCCCATACATGGCCAAATTTAACTAAAAATATAAAGCTTATATAACTAAGTCACATTCACAAAACTTACCTTTTGCTCTCCTACCTTGCAGTTGGTCTAGTGGCTTAAGCGTGACTCACAGGAAGCTGATCACATGCCTATAAGATTGACAAATGATGACACACAGATACGAATCTGAGGCCCTGACTGTCAACTCTGATATCGTGAATTTGAATTACTGTGCACCGATAGTTTTAATTCATGTGCGCAATTAGCACAGGCTCCTACCGTGAAATCAAACATCGTGAACTTTCATATAGGGCTGGATTGTTATTAGTGTATTATTTAGATTATAAAAAGAATAATCACAGTTCATCCTTCTTAGGCAATTCATTTAGGATCTCCGCTATTAAGTTGTGGAATAGGCTACCGACTCGATACGATTGGCTACCTCTCTGTCATCTTTTAAAACTCTTCTGTATAAACATTTCTTAACCTTATCCTATCCTGATCAATGTGACGTGACTTGTATAATTCTTGTGTTTCCTTTTCTTTTGCATTGCATCACTATTCGCTTTTCATGAATCTGTAAGATTAGCTTTTAAGTTTTTAGTATTAAATTTTTTTTTGTATTACTTTAGATTAAGGTTCTATATTTTTTCCTTATATATAACATTTGGTTCTGCACTTCTCGCACTCATCATGTTTCTTTTTTTAGTTTTTCTCTGTAACTAGGGTTGCCTGGAAGAGATCGCTTATTAGCGATAAGGCCGCCCGTTGCATCCCTTATAATTTTTATGTATTGTTATTTTATGTATTGTTGTTTTTTTTTCATTTTTATTGCAACGAAGTGTAAATAAATAATCTATACTAATATTATTAATTCATTTACCTATAAAAACCACGTTATTTGTGAGTGTCATAGGTTATATATTATACAATATAACCCAAAAACTTAAGACTTTCACGTGATAGTGGATTTGCGAAGTAAGTGCACGGAATTTATTGCGGATTCACCAAAATCTAGAATGATTCATGAGGAAGGGTTGGGTAAATAATTGTTGAAGGTTACCGGGTCACGGTTGCCCAAAGCCAGGGTGCTAGTTTATACGTATAATAATAGAAATATGCTAGTATATTATACTATAATAATAACAAAGTTTATTTGCCTCTTTACAATATTGGGTTTTACAGGTGAAGTCCTGTGCACACCAGCCTTCCATCGCGGATAGAAAATATACAAAGAGATGACATAATATGACTAAACTAAAGTAACAAACAAAACAAAATTAAACTAAAGCATGAGTGGTTGTGGGTGTGTGAATTAAGCGTTTGTGAGAGATTTTTTTTTATAGAACCATGCGGCAAACGGGCAGGATTCTCATCTGATGTTTAGTGATACCGCCACCCATGGACATTCTCAATGTCACAGGACTCGCTAGCGCTCTTTTCTTGGAGGACCCTAAGTGGAATTGGGGTAGGAAATACTTCAGTGGGTAGCTGGTTCCGCATTGTGGTGGTGCGCGGCACAAGCTGCCTAAAAACGCTCAGTAGTGGAACGGCGGACGTCGAGGTGATACGGTTGGAATTTCGTATTCTGCCGCAACGTCCGATGATGGAACTCCGAACAATTCCTTTGAATGATGCAGAGTGACCCCACATCTCTACGCAACGCCAAGGGATCGAGCCACTTGGAAAGGGTTTAGTCGTCGACAATTCGATCCGCTCTTCGTTGAATACGGTCAAGTGGAAGGAGGTACTAGTACTGCGGAGCTCTCGCTCAGAGGTGAGAAACGACGTGAGAACAGTACTCCATATAGGGCCGAATTTGCGCTTTATACTGAATACGGATAGTCTAAAGTAAAGTTAAGTCTAAATACTAAGAGGCTATTGAATGAATATTCAATATACATATTATTTACTAAAAATACGTTCCTAAGCACAAAATTCTTATTCAGACACTGACGTACCTTCTTACCTTCAATTACGGGTGCAATGTTCGGACAAAACAAATGTCCAACCAAATATGAGATTTGGAATGAATCGCTTTTATAGTGATGAAGTCTGAAGGTCGTATAGAGACAGAATTTTAAAATATTTGGTAAATACATATTTTATCAAACGTGTTAAATTGGATTGAATAAATTTTCCAAATAATAAAAGCGCTTTCATGTTTCTTAATAATGAAAAAGCATAAATTCTGAATATTTTAAAGAAATTGTGTAAAAAATCATGAGTAGCGGAGACAAAGTAAAGTAAACCGATGCAAGTGGAATGCGGTGTAAAAATATCACCACCACTCACCAAAGACTATCACCTTCGTCTCTTTACCTGTGTCCGTGCGAGAAGACCACAAACAAAAATGGAAGCATTGAAGCGTGACCTGGCGTCGGCGGTTGAGTCTTCTCTGCAGCGCGGCAGCATGAAGAATGGTCCCTTCCTCCTACACTTGGGTATGGCAATAGAAACCGAGTGGTGTTTAGGGAATGAGGACAGAAAATAAGAGCGCGAACAGTATGATGAAACTTGTAAATTTTTGCGTAGATCCGCTCAGCTGTTGTGCCATGAATCACTATTGATTACTGGAATTAATGTGAAAACTATTTTGTTTTTGTTATAGTTTCATGTTTCAGGCGCTAAAAGTTCTCGTTCACTCGTTCTTCACAAAGCAGAGCGCATTGTTCTTGTTACCTCATCACATCTTGAATATGACGAAACATTTGTTTATTATTAAAAATTGTGTAGGTACTTACTGCAAAATTGTTTACTGATAAGTTAACATATTTTAAATGTTAAATTACTTATAAATTTTAACGGTTAATTAAAAAAACGAGAAAACATAATAATTATTATGTAATAATAATAATAATATTTTTTTTTCGTAATAAATATTATTACGACTACGGCCTACTATACGATTTAATCGGTAAGAAATTTTTAATAACGTTGGATGAGAGCTGTTCATCCGAGAGTTAAGCGTTGTTAGAGGTCATTAATACCAAATATTATTCATGTGTTTTACACTTATTAACGTCAAAACAATATCCTAAATGTAATTACAGAGGAATTAAATTCAAACAATGGAGGAGAAAATAAAAAATATGATGAGAGATCAATAATATATATTATCTTAAATCGTAACATAGTATTTTTCAATTAATTTGACGTCTGATTCGATGCTTGATAGTCTCTCGACGTGTTTTACGATTAAAATTTATAAGATGTAATAAATTCCGATTTCGTTTGAGCTATGAACTGTTTAAGAGTCAGATAAGGTTTATGATGGTATTAAAATTTTAAACAAAGACCTTTCGTGTCTGTGTCGATATTTTAATTACGACCTATTTTGGCCTCTGTTCCACTTTGTTTTTGTTTTGTTTTGAACAATTCGTTCTGTTTTCCAATTTGATTAATTAAGTAGTTTTGCGACAAATACAAATTGTTAAGTTGGACCTGTAACGAGTCTAATAATTACAATATATATATTATATAAGTATAATAATAAAAAATAAAAAATCGTAGTTCAGTTTCATCAGTCCATTCAGTCATCAGTTTAGATTTATATACATTTTTTTTTGTTATCATTACTTCCTTCTGTACTTTTGCAAAATCCTCCGAGTAAAGGCCTCCTCCACCTTTTTCCAAATATCTCAGCTATATCTTCTATCCACCTCTTTTTCAAAGATGAAAAGTCAAGGGCCGTTTTAGGGCACCCTATCCTCCATACGCGGATCGTGGGGATCGCGGGAAAGTCCCCCGTAATAGACACAAGCGACGGGGAATTCCCCGTTCCGTTCGATGGACGCGCATAGCATATGAATTGATTGATCTCAAGAGCAGCTCTTTATGAGCAGTGTTGGCCTAGTGACTTCAACGTGCGACTCTCACACCTGAGGTCGTAGGTTCGATCCCCGGCTGTGCCCCAATGGACTTTCTTTCTATGTGCACATTTAACATTTGCTCGAACTGTGAAGGAAACCTACCCTCACCTACTTGCCTATTAGATTTAAAAATGATCATGAAACAGATTCAGAAATCTGAGGCCAAGACCTAAAGACGTTGTAGCGCCACTGATTTTTTTTTCTTGATTGATCTCAGGGATTCCAATATTTTTTTAATTAAAAAAACTTGTTTTCAGTGGGGACTAGGGGCCCTATGTATCCACGGGACCCTGGGCTGCAACCCAAAAAGCCCTTAAGTAGATCCGCCCCTGCCTTCATCCCCTTGGTCATTTCTATACAGTCTTTAACAAGTACTAGCCTAGTTAAATGTGACTCAACCAAGTGGTGCGTTCAGATCCCGGTTGATGAAATATAAGTCGACGTATGTGGCAGGACAGAAAAAGTTTACATTATTATAAAGAAATCAATAAGACCTACGCTGAAATTTGCTTTTCTCTTGCGCTAGGGTGATATGGGACATGGTACTACGCAAAAACCTTTCATTTAATTATCGTACTATGTACTTCTAGGCTTCGTAGAGCATAGTATTTTGCTACAACTCTACGGTACTACCGCTAGTGTTTGTCACGACGAGCTACGGTGTAGAGCTTGTTTCATTTGCTACAGGATTCTGTCTAAGCTTATTTTTTATTAAGTATGTGTGTCGCGTAAGCCTCAAATGGATATTGGACATACACATTACTGTGACTATTTTTAATATTTTTTTAAAGGTAGGTATTACATTATTTTGTTGGCCTAGTGGCTTCAGCGTGCGACTCTCAACCCTGAGAGCGTACGTTCGATCCCCGTCTATGCACCAATAGACTTTCTGTCTATATGCGCATTTAACATTTGCTCGAATAGTGAAGGAAAACGTCGTGAGGAAACCGGTTTGTCTTAGAGCCAAATCGTCGACGGCGTGTTTGGCACAGGAGGCTGATCACCTACTAGCCAAACAGATACAGAAATCTGAGGCCCAGACCTAAAAAGGTTGTAGTGCCATTGATTTTTTTTTCAATATTTTAGTAATTTACGGGGAATCAAAGACCCAAATCAAAGAGCCAAAGTATATTACTGGTATTTTAAGAATTGATAAGCATTTTTTTTGAGGCCTCTAGCTCAAATAGGATTGGAAATAAACATTGCAAGTAAGCTAAAAATACTAGTTGAGTACCGTAATTGAAATCAGTAATTTCACAAGAATCCTTTATGAGAAGTGGCATGTTATGCCCCGAAAACATATTCGTGTTTGTCCATAAAGTACCACGTTTACGAGATATAATATACTTTATATGTTGTGAAACGTGACATCAGCTCCATTTCGCAGCTTGCCTGAGATAATATTTGACGAAAAATATTTACGTTTTGGTTTTTCTTTTATTTTCCGCCTCATTTGGAACATACTTTAATTATATATATATATATGTCTTCGCAATAATATCTATGTGCGCGTTTACATTCGATCAAATGAAGATTGGAGAAGATGATTGTATAGTATCTGTTTCAGGATCAAATGACGAGAACAAATGCAGAAATCAGAGGCCCCGACCTAAACAGGTTGTAGTGCTACTGTTTTTTTTTAAATTCCTTTTACAATTATTAACCTAGACCAACTCGTCTATGGGGATTTATGCCTATTCAGACTTACCAAGTACGGAGGAGATATTTTACTGGACAACTATGTGATACATTGGTTTTATACTATGATGGGTTGTATGTCTTTACCTGTATTACTTATGTATATCCATATCACACATATTTTGTGAAATCAAATTGCCGGGAATCCAACCTAAGACCGGACGATCTGCGGTCAAAAATGTTAGCCGCTAGTCCACTGAGGCAGTTATATTAATATCATGATGATAAATCATGATGAAGAAGTTACCATTCTACCATTAATTTATTAATTTATTTTTTATTTATTTATTTATTCCATATCATTATTCTATCATTACAGTAATTACTAATTCGATAGAACGACACAACATTTATACCCACACCAATTAACCTAGATAAAAAACATTTAAAAAAATATATATATTTATATACCTACATCTTATAACTAATAATATAGGAAGCAACTCCTGTAAACTCAGCCAGTGTACAAACAAACAGGTCTACCTCAACAGAAGTCCTATTTATTATAATTATTGCTCGCGTGAGTGGTGCTTCGCTAACCAAGTTGGAATGTGCGCGCGGTACATCCAAAAGTTGAGACTTCCGCCTCAGGTTTCTACTTGGTACCCGTAGACTCAGTCTCTCCATTATATCCGGATTATGAACCCATTTGATATAACATTATTTAGGTTGTATCTTAGCAGCGTTCGCGCTATAGAGAAATAATATTTTTTCCTATTCCTAAAAAATAACCCTACGTTGTTGCAGGCGAACTCAGAGTTATTATTAGAGTTAAAGGTAACTTAAACGATTAAGTAATTTGGTTCAATAAAGAGGCACGAAAAATGTATTATAGATACCGGCAAACATCTTGAACAAATGTCCTTGCCTGCGCAGAAGGCGGGCGGTGTTGCGCGGCGGTGGCAGAGTGACGTTTGCGTGTGTGTATGTGTACGATGCGCAAAATTTCCCCCACTCCCTTGTTCAATGCTCAAGAAGTTTGCCGGTATCTGTACAGTAGTTGACAAAAATACATTAAATTACATGACCACCAAATAATTTTGCATTACAAAGCACATACGTTTACAAAATTTAATACAGGGACTTGCAAACCCTAACATTTTGCCAAAATTGATTACCATATTTTGACTTCGGTTTAATACCGCCTTCGAAAGTTGTGGTAACAATGATTTTACGCTATTAAAACTAAAATTAATATTCAGCATTCGTCACAGATCATTTAACTAGAACGGCTGGCGTTGATTACTCAACTCCATTTGAAAACACTCCAATATCTCTTAGAGCAAATCTGGGAGGCACTTAGGGGCCGCAAATACTTATTTTATGTCTGATCGTTTGTTGAATCGCTATTCATTTCCGGGCCGCGATGAGCTCGTTACTAAGGATTTCAACTTTTGATATCGGTTTACATTTTTATATTCTTTTAATAATAATATATACCATAGATAAGACTCACACACGTTGTGTCAACTACTATGATTACACAGATAGAAACATAAGAATAGCAACACTTAATAGTGAGAAGTGATTAGGATATTAAACAAAGTATGAAAGCACCGACTGCAGCGCCATCTGCCGGGCTGATTTGTGAATCTAAACCATCCAGGATTCCACACAAACGCATACAAAAAAAAAACATTAAAGTCGGTTCAGCCGTTAAAGAGGAGTTCAGTGACATACACACGTACAGTAGAATTATATAGTATACTAGTGGACCCCACAGACGTTGTCCTGCATGATATTTAAAGCGATTAGGATATTAAGCAAAGTATGAAAGTACCGACTGCAGTGCCATCTGCCGCGCTGATTTGTGAATCTAAACCATTCCCAGATCCCCTTGAAAACACACAAAAAATTTCATCAAAATCGGTCCAGTCGTTTGAGAGAAGTTCAGTCACATACACACGCACAGAAGAAATATATA